CGCGAGAGCCGCTGCGTCATGCCCAAAATTTCCGAGCGCGTAGCTTGCGTATAGAGAGTCTTTGTTCATCGCATTCCTTTCTGAGAGACGATAACCTTTGCTCATCGATACCGATTAGATTTTGTTTATAATATGACGTCCGGCTAGGTTTGTTTATAACATGGCACTGGTTCGGACTTGTCTATCTTATCTCGGCTGGCTCTCGTTTCTCTTTCCAGGATTTCGTTACAAGAATTATTTCTTAGAATTATCGTTAGACAATAATTATATTCCGTTGCAAAAAATGAAAGAGCCCGTGGAGTCCAGGACGTAACAGTTTAGACTTACTACTTGCTGTAATTTTTTGATGGAGAGGTCTCGGCTGCTGTGCGAAAACTTTTATCGTTCCTTGTCTTACTGCGAGTTAGAAATCAAATCCGTCGGCTCATCGTGGCAATATCCAGTGTCTAAACTGATTATAATTTGTTTACTGCCACTGGCCGACTTTTCGTTCTCCATCCAGGAAGTTTACGTCTAAGATTACAGTTAGTTACGATTTTTAGGACCGGCATACCGTTCCCACGTTGCAAAAAAAAAGGGACCGTGAAGTCTATGACGTAACAGTATCATTTATATTATTATATTTATACAATTGTTTATATTTATATTCATAGGTAATATTTTTGCGCATCAAAATACTTAAAACAAGTGGAAAACATATTATGTTGCATATTAACGATGCGATGAGAAAGCTTATATATATGTATCTTGTGTGTGAATTATCTGACAAGGAGAGCGCACGATGTGTGACCAATCGATTTCGCCGAAACTTTTTGTATCGATAGGTCACTATGCCAAGTGTTACAAGGTAAGCGCATAAGACGCAGTACTCAAGCGTTCGCGAAAAAATCGCAATTAAAAATTTTTGAGCGATTTAAGTAAATATGAAATAGAGCGCTTTACCGAAGTGCGCGTGGCGCAGCGGTAGCGCGCTGGACTAATAGTGGCGGTAAAATGCTGCTGGTTCGAGTCTCGGTGAGTAATTTTTTTTTTTTTTTAAATACAATTACTTTGTATATTATAATGCAATTGTTATTCAAACTGAATGTAATTAATAAATTTTTTATTGTGTTTATAATTAATAATAACATCGGAAGATTAGTGCTATACAAATAAATGTGAAACGTGTTTTTTATAAAGCAGCCACATGTTCTTATAGCATTTGACCGTTACTTTCGAAGCAGGTAGAAAACAATCTTTTCTGCGTTTCGATTCACTGCCTATATTGAAAATCTATATTTTACATTACTTGTTATGTGTTATGTGTTTTCTTTGGCTGCGTTTGGAGAGCGTGCTATCAGCGCTGCTGCATCATTTTATTTTTATTATTTATTAGATATCTTTGTAAAACAAAGATAGAATGACGCAACAGCGCTGATAGCGTCCTCCCAGAACGCAGGCTTATTCTGTTACAAAGAATAAGAAAAGAAGATGAAGTTCGTTACACAGTAACGAAAATGATTTTGTCCACGCTAGTAGAAACGACAGAACGAAAAAGAAAAGTATACGAAAAAACAGAAATGGAATGTGCATCAAGTTCGTCATCAGAACAGGAATGTGATGTTAATTCACTTTACAGTGACGTATCAAAATTACAATTAAAAAATGTTATGGTGTATTTGGAAAACTTACTCATTGAAAATGATCTTATGGCCCGAGAATCATCTGGAACAATTAACAATGAAGCAATACAAATGGACGAACATATGTATACATCTATTGTTGAAATGTTGGGCAACATGTTTTTTGTGGATACAGAGGAATTAATTACAGCAGAATGTGACGACAAAGAATGTCAATTTAAAGAGGCAGAAGACGATCATTCCGACGATTATTCTGATCACTATACTAGAAAGAGAAAAAGAAACTACAGCAACAGAATACATTTCTCTGAAATATAAAATTAAAATCGTCAATGTGGCCACGGAGCATCCAAACTGAACTCTCAAAACTTTACAAAAAAAAGGAGGTACACGTTTAAAAAGCATGAAACTTTTATATAGATGGAAAGAGGATATTAAACATGGAGGAACGACAAGAGACAAATACGCTATCATTAACTCCTGGACATATAATCGCTTTATAGAAGCTAGAAATAGTTATCAGCAAGTGACGACAAGAAATTTACAACAATGGGCGCTGAGCGCTGCAAGTCAATTCAACGATTTGAATTTTAAGGCATCTGATCGGTGGGTCACAAACTTTAAAAAGGAGCACAGGATTAGACAAAGAAAAATTACAAAATTTGTATCCGCAAAAGAAACAAAAACAATAGACGAGATATTAGCTGCAGCAGATATTTTCCATACACAGATAAAAGTATTAATTCCTAATTTTTACAAGGATTTCATTATCAACACAGACCAAACAGGTAAATAATAATTTCTTTACAATATGACATATAATACCCCTTGTAACTTTACTTTAAATAATATATTTAAAAAATAAGTAATGATATATTTATAAATCTGTTTAATCACACAATACATATACTTGTATGTTGCAGGATGTCAGTACCAATCAACGTATGACAGAACTTTATCTCTACGAGAGACGAAAGCAATTTTTGTACAAAAGAAAAGTATTAATAAGATAAGTCATACGTACACAGCACAATATGCGATTACTATGTCTGGCAAATTATTACCGTATGTATTCATATGTTTACAAGAAGCGACAGGTGTGTTCGGACCAAAAGTACAACAAAATGTTGATGAATATGTTAAAATGTATACAAATGTTGTAGTGACATGCTCAGAATCCGGAAAATTTACAACACAGTTATATACACGATTTTTAAAAACAGTAATATCACANTACGTAAAAAAAGAGAAATTTCTTCTATTGATAGATTCGTGGGGCGGACAAACAAATCCTGCATTATATGACGAAATTTTTGTAGACGATGACAATACAAGTACATGTAGCATTAAAGTGGTTTCACCAAAATGCACACCGTTATGTCAACCATGTGATGTTTATTTTTATAGACAAATAACAAACTTTATCAAGCGTCTGCAAAACTGTACAACCTTAATAGAACAACAGCGCGAAATATCATCTTGCGAGGATTGTATCAAAATTCACTCTGTTATACATCATCAATTGTCCGCTCCAATTTTTGCAAATATGGTAAAATATGCGTGGTTCGCGTCCAAATTAACAGATGAAAGAGAAGTCTTTATGAATGTAAATGAAGTTTGTTTCCCATTAGATATTTTAAAAACACCTTGTGAATGTAAAAATGCAGCATTTGTACGATGCGCACATTGTCGAAAAAATTATTGTTTTCATTGTTTCAATGATAAATTTCATCAAGCAACATATAATGTGCCTTCTTGCAGTTAAATAAAACACGTTTCACATGTATTCGTATAGCACTGATTTTTCCGATGTTATTATTAATTCTAAACACAATAAAAAATTTATTAATTACATTTATTTTGAATAACAATTGCATTATAATATACAAAGTAATTGTATTAAAAAAATAAAATAAAAAATTACTCACCGAGACTCGAACCAGCAGCGTTCTACCGCCACTACTAGTCTAGCGCGCTACTGCTGCGCCACGCGCTTTTCGGTAAAACGCTCTATTTCATATTTACTTAAGTCGCTCGAAAATTTTTAATTGCGATTTTCTCGCGAACGCTTGAGTAGTGCGTCTTATGCGTTTACCTTGTAACACTTGGCATACTGACCTATCGATACAAAAAGTTTCGGCGAAATCGATTGGTCACACATCGTGCGCTTTCCTTGTGAAACTCACGACAAGCGTTACAATATTTGACTTCGCTTGTGAATCTAACGAAAGACGGGAAGAACGCGAGAACCAACGATTAGTCTGTCTCAGTCTAAAAGAAAGACGGGCGAACCGACCGAGAGACAAAGAAAAAGATACATATATCTATCCTTGTCGTCCGACTAGATGGCGCTACCTTCTGGACAGCGTAGCAGACGACAGCGGCCGAGTAGCCGATTCTAAGGTTACGCGGCGGTTAAGCATCCTCTTAACCATAGACTTATATAATAGACGGAACATTCGTGTAAGAGGAGCTGAAGTCTTCGTTAAAAGAGACAGAAATAGTCGTGGAGTTGTTCTCTTCTTTTCTAGCAGTGAGTTGATTGGTGGCCGAGAGCAACGAAGATAGAGTTCGAGAGTCAGTTGAGAGAAAGTGATAGTGAAAGGTGATAGCATAGACTTGTGAGATGATTGGTTCCCCACCATCTTATTGTAAGAGAGAGAGACAACTACTCCAGCACTATCTCTGTCCTTTAATGTTGTTCTCAACTTCGTCATATAAATGTTCCGTCTATTATATAAGTCTATGCTCTTAACACGTTGTATTATAATCCCACGCATTACGCCGGTTACTCGTCGACGGGAAATTTGTCGCGAGCCGCTAAACCAAATTACTTGCGCGAGGACGTTGTTCGCTGGCTTTGTTCGCAAGATGCTTACACTCTACATCGTCCTGCGCGGCGAAAATTTCCCCGACTGCATTACAACGTGACGAATATTGACGATCTCTGGGAGGCTGATTTGATAGAATTGCAAACTTTGCGAAACTATAACGACGGATATTGCTATTTACTGACGGTTATCGATGTTCTCAGCAAATTCGCGTGGGTGGAACCGTTGCGAGACAAAACAGGTGCTCAAGTCCTTCGCGCGTTTCAACGCGTGTTCTTGAAAAGTTGCGGACGAAGACCCATATATCTGCAAACCGACAAAGGTAAAGAATTTATCGCGCATTTGTTGCAAAAGTTTCTCAAGAAAGAAAGAGTTCGTTTCCGCGTGGCGCGTAATTCTGACGTTAAAGCAGCCGTGTGTTTCAATAGAACGCTAAAAGAGCGCATGTGGCGCTAATTCACGCACAAAAACACGAAACGTTACCTCGATGTCTTGCAAGATATCGTGCACGCGTACATAAAACCATACGCCTCACTCTTCCATACACATGAAACCTGCGAATGTTACGACGGAAAACGCAAATATTACGTGCGAAAACACGTGGCATTGCTGGAAAAAACAGCGACTCGAAGCGAAAGCAGTTAAATACTCCGTCAGCGATTTTGTAAGTGTCAGTAGAGCGAAAGTCGCCTTTGCGAAGGGATACGAGGCCAAGTGGAGCGAAGAGATATTTCGAATTCATCGTGTTCTCGAGTGGCGAAATCCGCGCGTTTACGAACTGAGTGATTTAGCGGATGAAGTTGAAAACGGAATTTTCTACGTGCAAGACCTGTTTCCTGTTGTTAAAAATCTACAAGAAGAAACTTTCATCGTTGATTGGGTGATAAAGAGCAAAGATCGGAGATGTAATAGGCAACTGCTAGTCAGTTGGCAGAGTTATCCGTCTAAATTCGACTTGTGGATTCCGAGTTTAACAACGCTTTCACAACAAGGCGACGACAATGATGATGACAATGGAGAAACACTTTTTCGTAGTTTTCCCGAGCAATAGCAGTATGCTTTACTTCCCGCACATTACCACATTGTGTTTTACTACACAATTACTCCGCCGTATAGATTTGCAAGAAAAATGGAAAGTTGCTCTTACCAATATTCGGTTTCCTTCTAGTTTTTTACATTTATGCGCGGATGAAACTCTGATAACACTCGCGAATACTTTTCTTAATGGAGATGTTTTGTCAGTTAACATTCCAATATCATCAGGACTTTATTCTTCAGAAGCTGGTCTTATACAAGCTATAAATAGTTTGTGCTCTCGAGAAAAATTGCATATTACATGGTCACTGAATCCGCTATATAGTAATAAAGTTTCTATATCGCTTACATGTAAAGAAGACAAATGCAATCAAATTTATATTGTAAAGCTTAGCGACAAATTGCGTCGTATACTCGGATTTGAGACAACCTCTGTTAATACACCTTTCGTAGTAGACAGGGTTGCCGGTGTTGACAGTTTTGAACCTAACCAATCAGCTTGGCCCTGTTATCCTCAACAAGTTATTTGTTTATTGTGACATTTGCGAGTCATACATACCCGGAGGTGCGCTAACACCGCTTCTTCGAATAGTTACTAATAATACCACGAATAAGTACGGTTCTAATCAGGTGAAATATTACTCGTCTGGAAATTATATTCCGCTTCGTAAAACAACTTTCCGCGTGATATAAATAGATATAAGAGATCAGTTTGGTAAATTTATTTCATTCGAATTCGGCACGTTGACGGTAACGTTACACTTTAGACGCGTATTCGAGTAGAGATAATATGGCTCATTATATGGAATATTACGCAATGTAGAGCGGGTGCAGCATTCCGAAGTTTTCGCGGGATCGACGTATCAGCATTGTCACGGTATCGGAAGCTTTCTCGGCGGATTGTTCAAAAGAGTGCTTCCCTACTTGGCTAGCGGAGCGCGCGCGATCGGAAAAAATGCTCTACGCGCCGATGTGAGAATAATAGACGATGTGGAAGATAACAATATTCCGCTAAGAGAAGCAGTTAACAGTTGTTTCAAAAAATCACGTGATAATCTCAAACAACAAGCAAAAGAAAAAGTAACCAGCTTAATGCGAAGGTCGGGATATATACTTCTTGCGAAGAAACGCCCGGGCCAGTTTGACCCAGGTGAGCTCCCCGTTCACTTCGCGATCAAGCGTCGCCGCCGTGCTAATAGTACCAGCAAGAAATCGGTTTCTGTGCGGAGAAAAAAGAAAACTCGAGCAATTAAACGCTCAACGAGTAGAGGGATTCAGAAGAAAAAGAAGAAGCGCGCGACAAAAACTAGCAAACGCCGCGTGAGCAAGAAACGAACCGTGAGCGATATATTCTCGTAGACGGAGCAAAATGTCTTTTCTCCATACTCACTTGTGTGAGTGTTTCAAAAGCAAACTTGATCTTTTCACTTTACCGCCCATTCAGACCAGTATCGAGAGTTTGCAATAGATTCATTACAAACTTATGTCGACTCTTGCGGACGATGCTTCCGTAGAATTTATCGTCCCGAGACATGGTGAAGATTACATAGATCTCGCGCATACTCTTCTCAGTCTTTGCGTGATACTGCAAACTTCCGTTGAAGCAGCGGTTACTCCGCCTACTCCGACTACAACTTCTAGCAGCACTGCCGTTGCAGAGCACAAAGTAGGGCCTGTAAATAACTTTTTACATTCCATGTTCAATCAAATCGATGTGTACTTCAATCAAAAGCTTGTGTCGTTTCCGAACACTGCTTACGCGTATCGAGCCTATTTTGAGACATTGGTGAATTATTCTTCAGAGGCAAAATCCTCTCATCTCACCATCTGTTTATGGGATAGCGATTTTCCGAGTCGATGCAGGGTTTGATGCTTCAGCTGACAACCCCGCTCTCGTGAGATACGTATGCAGTATTTCAAAAATAACCGTGCTGTTGATTTCATATATCTACATTGCGACGTTTTCAATCAGGATAAATTCTTGATTACTGGCGTGAAAATGCGACTAAGACTCATCCGCTCGAAGGATTTTTTCTGTCTTATGGAACTTACGCTACAGACAAAAGTTTGTATTGTAGACGCTACCTTGATCATGAGGAAAGCAAAACTAAGCGCTGGAGTTTTATTATCTTACGCTAAAATGCTGAGCAAAATTACTGCAAAGTATCTTCTCACGAGAGTTGAAGTTAAATTGTTTACGATCTACAGAGAAGTGATGGGAGAATTGATTGACAACGCTATACTCGGTCACCTGTCGATGCGGGTGATAATCGGTTTTATCGAAAATAGGGCGTTTAACAGCGATAGTACACTTAATTTGTTTACTTTTAAAAATTTTAATAGAAGTTTCTTCTTGCTTTACGTCAAAGAAATGCAGGTTCCTACTAGACCGTTACAACTTTCTTTTTCAAGGGACTTTCTTCTCTACATCGAGGCTTTTTATACTCTTTTCTCAGGAACAGTAGACATTTTTTAAACAAAGGCAACGTTATAAGCAGAAATGCTTATGCTTGCGGATACACATTCTTTGCTGTTAATCTCACTCCCTATTTATCAGGCAATTGCGTCGAACATTGGAATTTCGTGAAGCACGGTAGTTTACGAATTGAAGCACGGTTCGAAAAAGCTCTCAAAACGATTATTACCTGTCTTGTTTATGCGGATTTTGACAGCGTTTTAGAAATAGATTTTTCGCGCCAAATCATTGTAGATTATAACGGATAATCATATTCTCGCACATGCGTAAAACCGAGATATTTTTTCCCCACTTGTATTTTTCCCACTTTTCTACTACTACGTCTTTTGTCGCAAGCGGTTTGTGGACAAATTTCAGTTTCGTTTTAGTCTCCGATATCTTCGCTTCGTTTTCACAATGTCCGACTATAAAGGTGCTGTGATCATAGAAATGCAAGGATTTTGCGGCGTCGTGTGTAAATTTATTCCATAAGAAGTGGCGTATTTCGCGGTAGACCGACCGATTTTCGGAAACTGGATCTTGATGCCTCCGTTTTCATTCACCGAATTACCGTAAAAATCAAAACAATGCAACGATTTGCTTACACAAATTTATCACGGTATCGAATGGTTTGACGGTGAAACCAATCTCAAATATCTCACGAGACATCTTCGAGAAGTCACCAAATACGCTCCCGTCATCTACACCAGAAGCAAAGAAAAAATGGATTTCTTAGAAAAGCTTTTGTCTAAAAACATATATAATCTGGAAGCTCTCTCTCCGTCGTTCAAATCCATCTCGAAAAGCGAAGAGAACATATCACAGTGTTTGTATCACAAAATTCGCTCATCTGACATTATTTGCGCTCTACGTAACGCTTTTCGGTTAAAACGCTGGTTAAATCTAAACAGCGTTGTACTTGAAAAAGAACAACTTGATAGTGGCTTCGTCAGCGATGAGATCAGCATGATACAATCTGCAGTTTTGTCTATCGACATCAAAACGAAGGAGTAGGGAAAGGAGGAGGGGAAATAATAAGTAACAGAAGAAGAAGATACGCGCAGTGATAGTCGATTGTCTGCCAAAAACCTTCTGCCTACAACGGTCCTCCTGCCTAAACAACGTCGGTGTACAAACAAAGGTACAAAAGAAATACACGCAAATCATTCCGCATTCTCGCGACTACCTGTATCGAAATAATGAATACGAAAGAAATATTGTAAGTTTTGCGACAACTGCAAATATCTGGACACACAGGAGTTTATCCAGCCGACAAATTGCCCAGGATGTGGACGAAGTGGACAGCAATCGTCGCTAACACAGACAATCACAATTAACCAAAAACCCACTGGGTTGCCTTCTTCCTCAATGGAAACAGACACGTCACATACTTCGACAGCTATGGAATACCACCGTCAGATTCCTGCTTCCTTCTGCGACTTCGACGAAACTCCGCAACGCACACATGGAACACGACTCAACTTCAAGGATAATTCTTTAAACGTGCGGGCATTATTGCTGTGTGTTTCTTTATTTTATGGCTCACGGGTATAGCCTTTCCCAATTTTTACAACTGTTTTCCGGAAATTTCGACGTCGACGACAAATTAATTGTATGTTTATTTCGTAAAATATTCTCTACGAAATTCAACAATGTACAAACTTGCTTTCATGAACATTATATTCAATATTGTACTTGTAAAACAAAAAAAAATAAGTAACTGTAATCTTGTATTTTCTTTTATATATTCACAATATATCTAAGTTTATATCAAATAAGTGTACTGTTGTTTTCTGTTATTTTTCCTAAGAAACCTATTCCTAAACTCCTCATCCGTTATTTAACATTTTTATAAACATTTTTTTATACATTGAATATCCATGTGCATTTATCAAAAACTCTCGTAGAATTTTCTCGAAGTTTTTCGCGCGAACAAGTACGCGCAGGTTTAACGAACGGCTTGTCGCGAGTCATAAATCGTTTTTATTTTCAAATAAAACTTATTGTTCTCTTTTATACATCGGCACGCTCTTGTTAACTTCCACGAACAAATTTGCGCAGATGAAAATCGTTTAGAAAAAATCTGCAGCGCCTGTCTAGAAACATAAATTCAGTTTTTATATTACAACAGAACCCACGCAACTCTAACTTTCTAGTCACAGACTTACGACGCTTACTTCTATTTTGGTTTCTATTTTGACTAGACGCCCTCCAACTCTGCTCTACGCTCATTGGGAGCCATATTGTACTAGACTCTGATTGTTCCTTCTCGGGACCGACGCCACCGTCGCCCTTACACTTCTTCCCTCAACCGACGCCAACTTGCTCACATACGCGTTTGAATTGTAACGGAGCCGATTTTCTATCGGCTTCGCCCGGCCTTCCGCCTGCCGGACAGCTCGGTCGGTGCCAAGGTTCGAGAAAGGGGAAGGCGAGAAATTGCGACACTCGGTTTTTATGCTGTAATGTATGTTTGGTTATTCTATTATATATATTCTATTATATATATTTATTATTCTATTATATATATTTACAAGAAGTTTTAATTAGGTTGCGTCGGT